GAATGTCCTGGGTGTGTCTTCCAAAGCTTGTTTGCTGGCTGGAAAATTCATCTTACCAGGGCAAGAGCCCGCTCCACTGCCTCAGCCCAGCAGCTCCAGGATGCCTGCGTGGCATCTGCTGCAAAACCTGCTGGTMACTGGCTCCACTGAATCAGCAAAGCAAGCTCCTCCGAAGCTCCCAGTCTGATGAGGTCTGGGACTGGGTGAGACTGGTGATGGGTAAGAAGCTGACGATGCAACAACCTCAGTCGAAAGGCAGAACTTCTGACAGCCTCTTGTGTCAGCTGCTGATGCTCTGTTGCTGGAGCTGTGGCAGGGCTGCAGCTGGCTTGCAGTCCTTGCAACTGAAGCACCACAGGCTCTGTAGATACTGCAGCCATCCAGCTTCCAGAACTAGGCAGTTGGACTGTGTTATTCCCTTCCCTGGGAATAGGAATTCCCTTCCCTATTCCCAGGGAAGGGAATAACACAGATGGTTATTATAGCAGTGGTGGTGGCTGAGAGAGTTTCTGACCCCTTTCTTGTTGCCAGAGGGGTACATCCATGTGAATCTGACCTGCAGGAAAGGTAACTTTGATTCATCTCATTACCAGCTCCTGTGTTAGAGCTGATCTGGGGCTCTGGCTCTGTCATTGAGGAGAGAGGACAACAGCTCATGTGCAGGGTTAGATGCTCCCAAGCGTGGTCTTGCCAAGAGGGCCTTTCCCTGATGTAAGGACTTGAGAGGAGGACCTAAAATCTGCAAGTTAGAACAAACAGTATCAAAATTACACAGATTGCTGGCTGCTCACCGAGTGCAGCAGGCAAGCTGTACACTTCTGTTACGACTAGGACTGTACAGTGGCTGAGATGACAGGATGTTGCTTGTAAGGATATTTGGTCAGGAACATCCATCTTGGGTGCGTTAGCAGCTGGCAGCCCCACTTCTGGGTGCTTCTTTAAAGCCAGAGGGGTGGCTAGACTGTGCTTAACCATAGTGGTTCTAGTGTCAATAGCCTCTGTAGTAAGCAGGCTTGAAATCAGTGCCATACTGCATCTTCATGTCACATGCATGCAGGATGTGCCAAGAGGTTTTGTCCTGACCTTTCACAAGGAGACAAGTGCATCTTGTCCTCTTTCCTGCAGCCCTTGGCAGCAGCGTTCCTGAACAGAAGCCATGGCAGGTTTAACAAGTTTGTTCAGGGCTGGTTGTGTTATCTGATCCTTTGTAGGATCTCGGGGGTGTTAGCTGCCCCCTGGCCTTGCTAGTGGCCTCTCCTCCCTGAGGGCTGGGAGGGCAGGAAGGACCGTCCACGTGATGCGGCTGTGCCTGCTCCCTGGCCCAGGCGCTCTGTGCCTGACCTGCTTGCTCTGCACCTCCCTCTCAGCCATGGTCCCGCCTGCTCCTGTGCCATCCTGTGCTAGTATTGAGGGCTTGGAGGGTTTGCTTCTGGTAAACCCTAGTGCAGGCTCTTTCCTGAGGACCAGGAGAGCTCTGGCCCTGATCTCTGTAGGCCTAGGATTGCGGAGGCCCTGGCAGCAGCTCCTCTTTTCCACCAAACCTAATTAAGACTCAGTCTTGGCAGAACAGAGCCCTTCCAACTGCCAGCTGCAAAAGGCGAGACCTGCCTTCAAGGGCAGCAGAAATTATTCCCTTCTCTCAGCTGTGCTTCTTTCTTGGGTTTGGGCTGAGGATGGCCCTGGCAGCTGATGTGCAGAAGCCAAAAGAGCCCCACAGAGCTGAAAAGTTTCCATGCAGCACCAGGCCTGGGATGGGGGAGTGCAGCCCTRCGATGCGTGGAGCTGGTGGATGGCAGCAGGACCCATTCCATGCGTGGCCTCCCGGCAGCAGCACCTGCAATTTAGCTGGAACCTCACATGTGGGGAGGCTTGGGTGCTGAAATGACCCCCCTAATTAAGTGGGGGTTCCTTAGGGAACCAGGAAGCACAAGGAAGGGAAGGCTGGAGCTGCGTGGCTGCAGTCCCTCTCTCCCAGGCCCGCCAGGGCTTGCCGCCTGCCAGGGCTTTGCTGGGGTGAAGCTGCCCAGCTCTGCTGCTGTTGATGGAGCCATGCCACAGCCTGCACCGGCTGCTAACGGGCCTAGGGCACTATTAACGGGRCAGCTGTATGTCTCATGGCATACACTGGGACTTAATTTTCCAAGGATAATGCTAACGCAGCTTTAGAGCTGCCCAGTCTTCCTGTGGTCTCCTCCTCTTCCTCTCCCCACCTCCCGTCACTTGGGTACACATTGCTGCCACGCTCCCCTTGGCACTGCAACCAGACTCTGCTTTTGCTGGCCTTGCATCCTCTCAGCTGTGCGTCCTGGAAGTATCAYGGGTATCAAGGGGAGTGTTTGCCTTGCGTTTATTTTTAAGACTAAATCTCTGCAGGAGTAGCTTAGCAGTACAGAGAGTTGCTCCTGGGTTTGAGTAGGCTGCCCAGAACTGGAGGACAAGCTCTACTGCTCTGTACCTGCTTCTCTAGCTCTCTGCCACCTGGTTTGCTGAGGCAAAGGCCCCTAATACTGGTGCTAATTTGGGGTTACCCTGGGAGCAATGCTCAAGCAGTAAGAAAGCTTTGTAACAGCTCTACAGAGCCATGCTGTGTTGGGGCACCGTGGAGAGCCACAGGCACTGGGCAACGTGCCCGATGGCCATGCCCCTCCTGCCGGCCCGTTGTGCCTGGGAAGCTGAGTCATGTCCAGCTTGTCCCGTAGCTCCTTTCGGAGCAAGGCGCGAGGCTCAGCTGTGTCTCGGGGTGCGAGTTTGTACCTTAGCTGTGCTTCACTGCTGTTATTTTGGGAATGCTCTGTTCCTCAAAGCGGCAAAGAGGATGAGGGCAAGAAAAGATGCCAATCTGAGAGCTCTCTAAACGTGGCCTGGGAGCACAGAGGGACAGAGGCAGGTAGTGCCTAGCCGGGTTTGTTCTCAGCTATGTCTGGTCTGGTCGTGGCCAAAATGAAAACCAGCTTTTATTATGACAGGGCGTGCTTGGGCCGGACCTGTGAAAGGGATTCAGCTGCTCCACCCTGTGCCTTTCCAGGGAGCAGGCCAGGCCTGCCGTGCCAGGGGTTGTCTGCCATGCTCACCGCTCCGCAGCTCTGCTTGAGGCCTAAGCAGAGGCCTAAGTCACAGCTTTAACCTGAGGCCTTGGGTTGAGGAAAGAAAAMGAAGAGCTTAGCCCTCCGCGACCCGCTGCGAGCAGCAGCAACTCCAGCCGTTTTTATGTTTGCTGAAAGGCTGAGCTTCTCTTGGAACCAGGCTCTAGTAAGCGGAGGGAAGTAAATTGTGTTTCCATTTAACTAATTAGCCGTCCTCAGCGCTGGCCAAAGCACACACAAGGTTACAGCCATTTTTAAGCTGTTACATGCCTGCATAAGTGTTGCTGAGCCAGGCAGCAGGAGCTGCAAACTAGCTAATGGCCAGGGAAGGGGTGGGATGAAGGGCCAGATCCTGTTCACTCCAAATTCACGTAAAGCTGAGTAACCTCAGCGCCTTAAGTAGAATTACTGCAGGTCATCAGTGGTTTAGAAGAGGTGAAAATTTCTTTCCTCCTTCTACTGTTCTGSTGGTGCTGCCTTTAGAGTCTCCTTTTGAGTGATTTCCATTCTGAAAAAGAGATCTCTTTAAGGCATTTCAAGTCATGTCTCCCCTCTATTTTTCATTTCCCTTCCTCCTGCACTTTCTGAAAGCATTAGTCTCTTTGATGCAGATTTAATATCCTTAAGAATATTAGTCAGTAGCTGCTGCTGGCTTTGTCTTTAACATTCTGCATCCAAGTGTTTTTTTTTTTTTTCCTAGGGCAGCTTAAGGGAGGGGTAACTGGCCGCAGGATGTGGTCATGAAGGGCTGCCACAAAAGGCACAGCCTGGATTACCAGGGAACAGACAATAAAACACAAACTGGGACTTAGCTGGGACAAGTAAGAGTTTCCAGCAAGCCACAGAAATACTGCACTGTGTGGGGCACCCTGCTCTGCTGCAGTAGCTTTGCACGCTGGCTGTGCACAGGGCAAGTGTTGCACTTGTGCCCTTGTAGCCTCCAGGGGAAGGAGGGGTAGGCTCCGTGCTGCAGCCAGTTGCTTTTGGTTAAATCTTCAGACCCTAGATCCCAGCTAGGAAGAAGCTCCTACACAGAGGATGCAAAGCTCTGTGCTCGGGGCCCAGGCCCAGCAGCAGTTTGTCTCTCTAGGAGGAGAAAGGGGCAGAGCTGCTGTGGCCCTGACGCTGGGGGCTTCCTGTGGGGCTGCAGCTCCTGGCCGTGAGCAGCGACACCCGCCAACCTCCCTAGGTAAAGAAAGGCCTTCCTAGCACCCTGAGAGGTGAGATAGTCCAAAGGGAGACTTTCCCTCGGCCCTATTCACTCTCCTGATCCCCCTTGGTAGGGCTCCGGGCCTGGACACTGATTCCCRTGCACAGTTGCTCTAAGAGGTTCGTTACCTTCCTTGGCAGCCCAAGGCAGGGGCCAGTGACAGGCACCCACTGATGCCGCAGGGAGGAGCTGGGCTACAGAGGAGAGGTGTCAAAATACAATGCCAAACCTATGGATTATTCAGTCTAAGCATATCCAGGTAGAGCTGTGCCTCCCTCAGCAAAGAGGAACGGTGGGCTCCCCACAGTGAGTTTTCTCGATTGACTTCTTGCTAATTGCTCACAAAAATTGCAACTTTGAAGTTTTGTCTTGCTGCTCTTTAGAGAAACTAAAATGCTATAATATGCTTCAGACAAACATTGATTTAAAAGTAAATGTTCATTCAAATGAATAAAAATGGTATTCAGAAGGAGACAAAACATGCTTACTGCAATTACAATTAGTATTTATTTAAAAATGCAGCGGACAAAAGCATGCCCCCCAAAATATCCAGTTTTAACACACAATATTAGCATTGCCCAAACATGTTTACCAAAACATGTTCAGTGTTTTACTAATCAACTCATAGYGCTATTAAGTCATTGCTGTTGCAGTATCTTCTCTTGAACTACACTCTCTACAAGTGTGCATAGTTTCAAGACTTGATAATGTAACACGAGCATAAAATGGCACCGAAACCCATTTGCCCCAAGCTTCTGCATGGACACCCTCCACCCCAGCAAGGAAGGAGGGAGTTCTGCATGTGCGTGTGGGCCGTGTGCGCTGTCCCCCAGGAGCTGCTGGCCACGGCAGGAGCCCTGCAGCAGGACAACAACCTCCTCAGGGAGCCACAAGCCCCAGAGCACCTTTTGGTTGCTACTCGACCTCTCGTCTCTCCTTGTTTTGGAAACCTACCTTGTGCCCGAGTGGGATGGGATGGTGTCAGGCAGGAGCTCCCTTCCTTCCTTGCAGGAGGAAGCCTGCAGGAGGAAGCCTGCAAAGCCAGACTTGGAGTTTTGCGGTTTTATTAGGCCACCCCAAAGGCCTGGTCTTTCCTCCACGTGCTGTTATTACTGACTCCTTCCTTAGGCATTGGCAGGTCAGGCTTCCTCTCGCTGTGTAAGCTAGAGGACATYTGCACGGTGGCAGTGATGTTGGAGCGCTCGGCAGGGCTCTCCCTTCCACTTCAGGCAGCCTCCCTGAGGAAGGGAGCCTCCGCGGGATCCCTGGGAGAGGGGCCCTGCAGCTGCTTGCCAGGATAACTCATTGCTCCTCTCTGGCGTATGTGACATCAAAGGAAGTGGGGCTACAGCACTGAATACAGGTGTACAAATCTCTATGGAGCTGAGTATCCCTCTCTCCCTCTCCTATCAAGTTTTCTGGACTCCTTCCCTTCCCCTACTCYGGAGCAGGCTCAGAAGAAGCTGTTAGTTGTGCGTTGCAGCATCTGCCTTATCCCACAATAGCAACAAAGGACCAACCAAATTAATTCACTAGCAATGGAAAAAGTGTCATTTCTAGTGGCTGCTGCGGTAACTAGTGTGTAGGAGTTGTAAAATGTAAGCAAATATATTTATACAAAAATCCACTACCTCCTCTATGTTGAGCTGTGCTTGCTTTAGATGATCGGGATGTGAGATAGTGCTGGTATGTGATTTACTGGTGCTCAGCAAAACTTCAGCTTATGCCATGGGAAGTGGCTACGTGCAAAGTTTAGGATTATTTTTCAATAGGGTGTTTAAAGTAGTTAGGGCTGTTAGTGTCTGCAGCTGGTTGTGCGTACTGAAAGGGAGCACCTTGGAGTATCTGCTAGTGTGAAGCTTCAGGTAAGCACTGGAAAACAAGCCAAGCTGAAGACACAGTTTAGTTCGGGAACTTCATAGAATCACAGAATGCTGAAGGTTGGAAGGGACCTCAGAGGTCACCTAGTCCAACCCCGCTGCACACGCAGGGTCACCTGTATTTCATGGGCTCCATCACTCTTGATAAAACARTGCTGAGCAATTAATTAACCCAGGGCAGTCAATGCCAACATTACTGAAAACCACAGGAACGTTGCTTCTGGCCCCTTATGTGTGGCTGCTTATGAGGAAGTGGCCTGCAGGACTGAAGAAGGGCGAAGCCTTTGGGGGCTTTGTGCAACGTGCACCCCRGCAGAGTTGGTGCTGTGGCGCTGTGTTTGCCTGCTCATTAGGCCAGATCCTGGAACACGCCTGGGACAGGGTATGGGGTGTCTTTCAGATCAGCAAAGTAATTCAACACCATAAACTTCCTATATTATCTTCTATATTGCGCTTCACAGAGCCCTCAAAGCAGAGGGCTGGGCAGCTGCCTTGCTCTCCCTTTTTTCCTTTTGAAACAGATCCCTGAATATCAGTTCTCCAACTGGTGGACGAGGGAAACAGTGACAATGCAACGGGAGAGAGGCCGACCCTGATTATTCCAAAATTATCATCCTGTTGTACGGTTAAGTCCCTGAGCTGTTTTATTTTCTGTCAACCATCTAAATACAATCTGTGGGGCAGGGGGGGGGAAGGGGCAAAGACAATTCTGAAGTCCTCGTCCTCAGCTTAAAAATAGTTGCCCAACAACTGTCCTTTCAGCAGTAGCTCTGTTTCCAGAGCTCTCACACAGTTCATAGTGTGATGACAGCACCTCTGAATACTTCACAGCAAGAGGAAGAAGCTCTGTAGTAGAGCAGAGTCTCTGCTCAAGCTCACAGTGAAGACACTGAAAGGGGAGTGATCTGTTCTATGGAAAACAGACGTGACGAGCAGGTGGCTTCACTGTTCACCCAGCAGTGGGGTGACAGGGTAGGGTAAGACACAGGGGTTATGTGGATGTAGGGTGCATTTACAGAGGTCTCTAATGCAGCTGAGGAAAAGCTTCTCTAAGAAAAGTGGCTGTGTGGGAGCAGTGGTGCAAAGGAGGAGCAGGGATGCCTGGGTATGAGCTAGACCCTTAAGAAGTCTCCCCTCTGCCCCCCTGTCTTACTGAGCAGCTTCACCTCCTCGATGACGATGTCGTGAGTGACCGCTTTGCACATGTCATACACGGTGAGGGCGGCCAGGCTGGCGGCTGTTAGAGCTTCCATCTCCACCCCGGTCTTCCCGCTGGTCTGACAGGAGCTGCGAATCTCCACGGCGTGCCTGGCCTCATCCAGCCTCAGAGACACCTCCACGTGGTTCAGGGGGATGTTGTGGCACAGCGGGATTAGCTGGCTGGTCAGTTTTGCTCCTTGGATTCCTGCAATCTGGGCTACTGCCAGCACATCCCCTTTCTTCACCCGGTTCTGCCTCACCATCCCGAATGCTTTCTCACCCAGGAGGACCACAGCACCAGCAACAGCAGTTCTTCTGGAATCTGGCTTCCCTCCGACATCTACCATTGTGGCCCGTCCCTCCTCATCTGTGTGAGTCAAGCTAGCAGAGGCACGAGKTACTTTGGGGCAAGAGCCAGAATCGCTGCTGCAGAATTCAGATCCTGGACTTGTCTCTTTGGAATGAGAGTCCACAGAAACTCGGTCAACAGGAGGAATCTCCATCTTAAGGCACTTTGTGTCAAACACGGAGCTCAAGTCCTCTTGGGAGACAGAGCTGCCTCCTGTCATCACGTGCCGCTGCTGCTCTAGGTGAGACGCTGGCAGGGTGAGCTGTCCTGTAAGCTTTTTCTTCTTAAAATCTTTTCCTGTCAGTTTGGATAAAGGTGCTTTCAAATTCAGCCAATAATTAAATGTGTGGCCCCGCTGTTTTGGACTTGGAAGATTCTGCAGGGCATCTTGGCACTGCGGGGAAGACATCAGTGTAGCCTCTGGAGAGAGAGGAAAAAAAAAAAAAGAAGATGACACATCTTATTAACTGGAAGGTAAGTCTGTAACAAATAAACTCTGCTTGGGACTTTTTGCATTATTAGAACCTTTAGAAGCCTGCAAACAACTAGTTTTAAATTTTTCCTCTCTCTCATTTTACTTTTCTGTACTTGCTGCTCAATTAGTGCAAACCTCCAAGACTCACACAATGGTCATAGACAAAAGGCAGCCACTTTCTTTCAAAAAAAAAAAAAAGTAGCACCACTTATTAGTGTATCAGTCTAATCTTACAGGAACACTGGTGCCAAAGTAAAACAAATCACCGCATCTCAGCATCCCTTGGACATTGTCCCACCATTAGTCTGCTTTAGAGAGGGTTAAAAGGTAGGGCTTCTCTGAACTAAACTACTCCTTTCCAAGTTTTCTAGCATGAGCACTTGCACTTTGCTTTCTTCTTCTGCAGGGAAAGGTCGTGCCAGCACCTGAGTAGGGTAGGGACAAGTGGCATGAGATGTAACTGCTCCGTCTGCAAGCTGGGATGAGCACCTCACACACTACTGCTGGCCCTAACCCTGTTACTGACAGCTGAAGTTCAAGCACTGGGAAAAATCACACTTCCCTCGTTGATGGACAGATTTTAGGTGCACTCAGAAGTAAGTTCCAAGCTGAGCTGGCAGAGGTCCCAGCTGGCACAGAAGCAGCAAACCCTCCTGCCCTTCACCACTTAATCCCTTGGTTTTGGCTTTTCCACAGGGCTTAATGCCAAGCATCAAGACAGACGGAGCCTTTTTCACATAAAAGTGATTTGTTTTGGAAGTAAACAGAAGCAGCATAGAGGTAGGTGTGTCTAAGCCCTACTTTAAGAGCCTCCCTGATAAACATTTTYCTCTTTTTCTAGAGCTCCTGTTCTCATTGCTCTACTCTCAGAAATGTAGCAGTTAGTTAGTAAGGTTTTGCTCAGTATTCTCCTTCAACAGCTTTGGTGTTGGAGGTGAACCCCGTTACTCACAAATTTTCAGACTGTTCCCTGGTGAATCAGTGCAGCTCCCAGGCCTGCAGGTATCACCTTGGACTGCCCRCATCAGCAGACACACCAGGGACAGCGTAGCACTGGTAGTGCTAATTGCTTGTTGCTGTTATTTTTATTTTTTTTATTTTTTTATTTTTTTAAAGTGAAAACCCTCTTCTCTTGAGTCCCTCCCTCTGCCACAACAAGAGACCCACGCGCTTAGTGTCTTCCTCAGTTATGCAGCACCCTCCACCTCCAACAAAAGTGCAGGTTACTGAGTCTTACGATAGCTTTTGATCACTGCAGCAATTTACATTCGGGTAAAGGCCTTTTCGGATCTACAGCTGATGGCTTGCGCAAGAAAACTGATTCTTGCAAATTTAACAGTAATGGGTTTACTCTCAGCTCTAATACAGAGAGCTGAGAGTATTAGAAAAAACAAGAAATGGGATAAAGTGGACATAAAYGTTTAAGTGCAACATTGCTTTAGAAGAGCACAGCAATTGTGCTCATTCCTTCTTTCTTTACATAGCAAGGGCTGATCTGAATCTTCTTTTAAAAAAGACAAAACTAAAAAAGGACTCTGTTCTTTTGGTTTCCATGATTAGCTTTAAAGGTGAAGTTAACACCATGCAGTGTGTCTAGCCCTCCCGGCAGGCAAGGGCAGACAGGCACTTAGTTCCACAGGACAGACACACATGCATGGGGGTTCAGAAGAGAGCTGTTTAACTCAATTGTGACCTTAAGAGGGAAAGTAAAAATAGAAAGGCAGGTATGTACACCAAAGCGCTCTTTCAGTATTTGCCTGTTCTAGCAACCCATTTTCTTCAAGTTTCACAGAGTCTGGTGAAAACCCTTATCTTTACTTATCTTGCTCATGCATACAAAATAAATGGATAATGGTTTTCTACAGCAGTTCTTACAATACAACTGGAACTATTTGAAAAATATCTTATACCCTAYTATTAAGTCTGAAAGTTAAGCATGTTACATCTCTACTAGTAAAATTTTAAGCAAAAAAAATGAGACAGGAGATAGTTAAACTACAGAGGAACCTCCTCTACCTGTGCACTGAACCTGTGAGCAGAAGAATTTGCTATAAAGAGTGTTTTGATTAAAGGCAATAGGAGACATAGCACATTATAACAAAGGCTCAGACAACAGCAGCATAGGGAAGAAGCTAGGTTAGGCTTATGAGATAGCAGAACAGATTAATGATTTCCACTGCAGTTTGGCTTACTGGGCCTCASAGAATAGATTAATGATTTCTACTGCATTCTGTAAGTTTCATTAAATAAATTTTCCCCCTCTCCATTCTATAACTCTTTGCATGCCAGCATTATTTGAACTAAATAATTAAAAACACAATTAAGAAATCCCTCAGTGATTCCCCATGTGTCACAGTGGGCTGTTCTCCATTCATCCCCAGTTGTGTCTGTGCCCTTGATGCAGAGGCTGCCACCAGTTGGGCTCCAAGGGACATGGAACAGCTGGGAAAAACCTGGACAGGCTGCCTCTCTTCCTGTGCATCAGACCATGTTGGAGCACTTTTCCAGAGGATGCTGGATGCATCTAATCTGTGCATCGCCACACACTAACTTCAGTGYGTGGCGATTCTTTCAAAGGCATCTCTCAAGATGTCAGCAGACTGCAACCTATAGCAGGAGTTTAAAATAGTTTATTTTTCACCTTTAAAACAAAAAACAGAAAATCTTTCTTTCCTAACAAGTGACTACATATTTTAAGCAGCAGTTCCTCTTTTCCCAKAACCCAGTGAGGCACCAGCCAAACCCAAAACACTAAAGCAAACTGAGCTAGATGAGCTTGGGCCACTGAAGCAATTCACTTTTAATCCTAACATGGAAACACAGAGCACTTTAAGGAGGAACATCAACTTAAAARCAGTGACCAAGGACTTATTTTCCAATAATAAAAACAAAAGCACCACATTTATGGTTAAAACAATAGGGATCATGTAATGCTATGATCCCTACAGGTGATGTATTACCTGTAGCAGAGACCTGGAAATTAGTGAATGGTACCTTGTCCCCTTCCTTTTGAATATCTGTTTTWAAAAAAAGCTCTTTTGAGCTGCACAGAGGCTAATCTATTCCTGAGTTTCAGTGGAAAGATAAGAGTTTGGGTGTGAATTATAGTGCTCATGTCTTGTACTTTTTTTTTTTCCTCCAAACTTTAAGAAGAAACAGTAGAACTACATCCGACTAGGCACCCCTCTGTGCTCTTACATGCATCTCTTCAGTTGTCTTTCTTTAAGAGAGAAGGAGGTGGGAAGAGAGTTAAAATCCCACACGGAAGGCTGAGAAAGTCAGAAGCAGAGCCCCAGCAGTGCTACGTCACCTCACGGACAGGAATTCAAGCAGCAGGTAGCGTTTGAAATGACATCTCTGATAGGCCCAGCAAGGAAAAAGGCTCTTGGCCATAGGGCTAGCCAGATACTTCTATATAACCAACTGTAGTAAGAGAACATTTCAAAAGAACAAACTCCCATGCTCTGGACTCTAAAAAAAGCATACAAGTGCAAAAAACTTGAATTTCCATCAACTAACAGGTCCTATATAACAAAGTATATGCAAGAATCAAAACTTAATTTCTTAACCAAGAAACTAAAGGAAGTCCTGAATTTTCTATGTTTATTCTGAAATTTGTTCAATATTACAGACCAGTTCTATTTCATAAAGCTCACCCAAAGCTCCTCTATTGGTTATGCTACTTCTTACGTCCAAAGGAAGAGACAAGCAAGTTAGTGATTCCTTTGGAAAATTTAATACACTTTTCACAATTGGAAAAAAAAAAGTGTGTTGTCCATGAGAAGATGGGAGAAGGCTGAGCAGGAACAATAAACCTTTCCTCCATTTCCATTTTAGCATAATTTTAACCATAACCCCTTTTTCTCTGCCTAACCAGAACCATACACAAGTCAGAATTAAAAGCCCAGCCCCCTCTGCTTCCCCAATGCCATAAACCAAACAAAATCATGGTATGTTTATTACGTACTGATTTGTCACCCACCAATCAGGATCATTGGCCGGTTTTTCATCTGGGAAATGTTAAACATGCCTAGAAATAAAATAAGGAACACATAAAAATCCTAGCTCTTTAGATTTTAAGAACTCATGCATCTGGTTTACGTACTTAGTTTTCTGCCCTTCATAGGGCAACCTTCACACTAGGAAAATCAAAGCTCAAGAAGATTCTGGGGACCAGGCTGGGGAGGGGATAAATCTAGTATAATATMATTTCAAAACCTAACCACCATCATCTGCAAGTCTCCCAGTGCTATGGAACTATCACCCTGTRAAGTCTTTTCCCAGAAAGCCTTCCCTAATTTGAATTACAGCCTACTTATTACAGTATTCAAATAACTTGGGACTATCTTATTTCTTAACAATAGCAGTAAACTGTATTAATTCTATGCATGAGCTGTTAACAGAATTCCAGCTCAGAGAACTCCAATCACAGAAGGCCCCAAGGACAACACTGGGATTAACAAGTTGGAAGATGAAAAAAATTGTCAGGTAAATGCTGTTGATGGCAAAAGCGTTTTACTGGATGGAGGAAAACATGTCCCCTCTACACCCTTTCAAATGAGAAAAAAAAAAAAATCAAACACTTTATAAGAAAAAAATAACACCACCCTATCAAACCTCCAGCTCCAATCTTAGCTTTAAAATTCATAATTTCATCTGGTCAGAGCGATGCACTTTGAAAATGAGTCTACATGCAGACTAATCTTCCTTAAATGTTTTAGGCATTACCAAAAAATAGCAAAAACAATCTGGCAAAAGTCATCTGGCAGAACCTGTAACAAAACAAAAGAGCCAAAACATATTTTTAATATAAAAGGAACTATTTCCTGCTAATGGAGCCAGTTCACATACAAGAGATCAGTATTGTCAGCTGCAGCCAGATCACCAAAAGATGGTTAGGTTCAGATGTAATTGAAATATAATTTATAACTGTCTAATTTAATTTAGCTTGAGGATGTAACTGCATCATCATGGACCTTGTGTCATTACCCTGTTGCTTCTAGAAACATGATAATGCAGCAGTTGACCTGACAGCTCAGATTAGTTTTACTTCTTATTTTACAACAAACTAATTTTAAGAAAAACAGGACCCAGTACAACTCTACTGATTTTTGCCTAGCTTTACAGCTTATTGTTGCAATGACAAGCACTGGTACTTGTACTTCTTTGAAGACCAAAAAAAAAAACACACACACAAGAAATCTGAAAAATTGCTAGCCAGTCTGGATTCCAGCTCATGTGGGAGCTTAGGAGATCAAAACCAGCATTCAAGTTTTGTAGTAACTGTACGGCTGGTCTATCACCAACCTTCCTTAGATCATATTGTTTTCCAATAGATGAGAAATTCTTTCCTCACTGAATGAAGCAGCTTCAATCAAGAACCTTTTTCTCCTCTGCAAAAGAAGGACATTTTTTGTCCTTGTTACTGCCTTTCTTTCTCAGGTATAACAAACATACCAGCGTGCTGTTTCTTTTTTCTTCCCACTGCTGCTCCAATGATTTGAACCAGGTCTTCCTCTGTGGCACCTGASCGCAGGTGATCTCTCAAGGACACTTCTGAATTTCCAAAAAGGCACACCTAGAGCCCACCCAGAGGAAATAAAAGAGGAGAAATGAGAAAAATAACAGAGAAATGATCCTTCTGCATGAGGATGTAGACTAGATGTTTCTGTGAAGTAGCAAGTTCCCACTTAGCTGTATGGAAAACACCCTCTCATGACTGCACGGACACCAACAACTCTGTCAGTCTGTGGAGGTGATGCTTTGTCATAATGCTGGTATCTGCCTGCTAAATGGACAGAGATAGACAACCCACCTCTCCAAAGTCAGCTTCAAGGAAGAGCAGACCCCGAGGATTACTGTGGTTAAGCACAGCATATGCTGAACCTGTACAGCAAACACCCCATTCACTTCAGCACTAGTAACACTGAAGATAACTGGCCACTGGAGAACAAGCAATGGAGAGTTTATTAGACCACCCTATATGTAAGTCAGCTCTGACAAGATAAGCAGGTTTATGCAGGCAACTCTGGGAGTTGAGCACTGCTGGTAAACAACAGTTCCCTTGCACTAACCTGATGTTGCGGCAAGAAACTATAGATATGCCAGACATCTGCTATTGAAGCCAGTAACTGTGCTCTTTCTTGGATTAAGTTTTCAGATGTCGAGATGTTCCTGAACACATGAACACACTGATCCCACTGCAAAGTGTATTTTAAGGATTGAGTTTTCACTTAGAGCTGTTGTTTTAAAGCAGAGCACTAGAGATGAGTCTTTTGTAGCTTGTAGGAATCCTTTTTTGCATCAGTAATAGGCAAAAAGAAGGCAAAAAAAGAAAACAAAAAGCAATTGARCATTTAGAAAGGGAATTACTGGGCATTTAGAATGGGAATTACCACTCCCTTAACATCATTTATCTCTTGCTTAAAGGGCTCTTCTTGGTGGTTGTGCAGTCTGTCTACCGATCTAAAAACACCAAAGTTTCACCATGTTTTACTTAATTTTCTTCCAGTAATTGAAAAAATTCCACTTTGGCAAATACCATGCAACAATCAACTCTCACAGTTTGTCTTCTATCTATAGCTCATCTCTTTTTTCTGTTCTCCTTGCAGACTTCATCATTCCATTTCTCCTGCTGAATCTTCTTTATCCTTCTGACTCTACTTTTAGGGCTCTATTGTTCAGCGTTGTATAGTTAAGGTCCAGCTCTGTTATTACTGTATGTCATCTTTTAAAAATGTAAATAGTTTTGAAGAGGTCTAGCCTATTGAAAAAAAATGTTTATGGAAGCCTTTTTTTTCATTATCTCTTTGTCCATATACATACACACACAGCTTGGGAAGTTTATGTAACCTAAGCTCGTTGGGCCTTCAGGCTGCCTGGGTCATCTGACATTAGACAGCAGCACAGCTGTTGTCAATATCAGGTGACAACATAGAAGTGCCAAATTTTAATTGAAAACTTTAATTTTGCCTCCAGAAACTGCCAGTTTCAACGTGGCAGGAAACAGCTCCYTCCCCCTTCTACAGACGTTGAGCAAATGTACAGGCTGCTCTTGAAGCAGAGCGCAGGGAGACGACTGGTGAAAGGGGACAGATCCTTGTGGAACACAAAAGCCAAGCCCTTCACAGCTGCTTGGGTCTCTTAAGGGAAATCATCTGCTTGTCACATGTTTCAGATGATTTTGAGTCAAAGATTAAAATAAATTATTAAAATAAATGTTTATGTTTACTGGTCTCTCAACCAACATATTACAGTTCAAGCTAACTACGTTAGCAAAATAGAGAAACCAAACCAACAAAGAGATGCAACAGCTCCACAACAAGCTTGAACAAGAAACTGGACAGGAAATCAAAAGATAAATATGCTGGAGTGAGCTAGTAATAATTATGTATCTTTTCATCCTACTACTCCATCACAGCTACTCTTAGGAGAGAAAAAAAAAAAAAGAAAAAAAAATCAATGCTACTTTAGTGGTATGAAAGCAGAAAAATTCATCCTTTGCTACTAACCTTTAGGTTTCCATCTGCTGTTATCCTCAGACGGTTGCAGGATCCACAGAAGTGCTCTGACATTGAGGTGATAAAACTGATTTGTCCTTGAAAATGTGGCACCTTATAACTCTACAGAAACACAGAAGAGACGAGACACTCGGATAGCCTCTGTTTCAAAAGCTCAACCTATTTCAGGCTTTCATCAAATCTGGTCTGAGGAAGATAACTTAGGCTTTCCTCTTCTAAAGGGTCAGTCATAAAAATCACAGGTCTGCCTTCTCCAGGCCTGGGGTGGATCAAAAGAATGATGCAACTGAGTGAAAGGTTAAGTTTTGATGCATCTGCTGCTCAGTGCCTAAATGAAACTTTGCTATTTAGTTCCACTCAATCTACAATGGGTTGTTGATGTACTTGTATTAAACAAAAACCATTCCCTCTTAATTTGCCAGTCTATCAATAGAAAAAACAGTATTTGTTTTTGCTTTGGCTAATCTCTAACCACATTAACATTGAGAAGAAAGTAGGGTCAGACCCRCTTTTATATTGCTAGTCCACTGAACAACCGTTTCACCAGGCTTGTTCATCTGCATCTGCACAGACACAGACTGTTAAAAATTTTCAAAAGCTGCAAATAAAGGATACAAGTTTCCTATTCTTTATATCTAACAAATGCCTCAGRTAAACACATAATGTTTCCAGAAGCAAAAAATTATGACCAGGGTTTATTATGAGTCAAATGACATGTAGGCAGTTTAACCAAAATTCCAGAATTATTACACGGAGCATTTTTCACTTGGCATGTCAAATATAAAATTTGACACTTGGCATACCTGAGGAATTCAGGGCAGTGGAAGGGGGAGGAATTTCCCCACATTTCACATGTTCTTTGTCTATCCTCACCTTGGCTGTGCTGGAGGCTTCACACGGCAATTTTTCCAGCTCAGGCCATCGCTGTTTAATTGTATCAAGCATTTCTTTGTAGCTTACCATCTTCTTGAAATTCCATTTATTGCCTGGAATTAACAAAAATCAGCATTACTTTAGGGTGTGGATTTAGTTTTGTCCATGAGGGAAGAACTAACTTTCTATTCTCTACAAATCTGAGTTGTCCATACAGGTATTCCAAACTTAATCCTGTAACCAGTCTTTCTGCACCATATCCAGGGCAGACATGTGAACTTAAAAAAAAACCAAAACATTTAACATAGAAGCTGAGGCAATTCCTCAGGAGCTCAACAAAACTTCATGAAATCAGCCCAAAGAGTGAAAAACACAACCACCAGATAAATTATTTATGTCCAAGGCACCTCAAAATCCATGGAGAATTTCAAAACAGGGCTGCTTACCATCAAAGGGCATGTACTCTATAAACCTCACGTCAAGGGGCAGATCCTTTGTGAAATCCACAAAGTCCAGCAGTTCATCCTCATTGAAGCCTCGCATCACCACACAGTTCACCTGAAGAAAAAGCAGTGACCTGATATTAGTGAGCAGAATATGACTTTTTTACCATCTGCACAGGGTTTCCACAATGCTCAGGCAAGGCAGATAAAAAGAACACTTTATTTTGAAAGAAAATATGATTAGAAAAGTTGGCAGGTCTGAAATGGTGCAGGTGATCATTTCTGTCACACTCACCTTTCAGTTTTTGCACCCAGCCTAACTGAACTTTTGCCTTACTAACCAGAAGATTAATAAAAGCAAAGTAACAAAGGCATCATCTTTCCCATCTAAGCGATGGCAATTTTACTGCCTCAAATGACAGATCTGCTGCCCAGTGACACATTTCACAGCTTCTGAAAAAGACAGGATCCCTTCTGCAATGTGATCTACTTTGGCAGATCACAAGCAAGTGTCCTAAACCAGGAAGTGTTGACATAGCACTCAGCAGGCACAGGCTGAAGAATGACTAGTTATGCCTGTCTCCAAACAGAATTTCAAATTGAGCTTTCTGCACTTTCCTCATAAGTTGTGTTTACATTGGAGCCCTGGGTACTCTGTGCTTTAACTGAAGAACAATACACAGCCCTGAATTTGTTTAAACACTCCCTGTTAGGAACGTAGACTTGTATACCCTAAGCAGTGGGCATCATGATCCTTAAGATTTTTCAGCAAAGCCTAAAACCTAGTTTCATTTCAAATGTTTCCTACAATTCTTCAGTCTAAACCAATTACCCATAACTGATCCTCCAAAATTCTGGTGAAATTGCAAGGAACCACAGCTGTATCTCAAAACTACAAATGGGAGCTAGGGTGAAGTTTCAATTTTACAGCTAAGCTGATGTACCTGCACTCCCAAAGGAGAACCCTTTTTGCCTCTCCCTTGCACTGACACTCATCAGACTCTGCTGTGAGTAGTTCAAGGAGATAAACCAGGAGAAAATTGCTCATGTCTTTCTGCAGGGGAGCTTCCTGACTGTTAACGACCTGGGTCAAGTCCACAGACAGGTCAGATAACTGGTGGCTCAACAGATGGGGTGGGAACAGGCAAGCAGAGAGCAGGACCATGCCTGTACCTAGGCAAGCAACAGGCTTTGCTGCGGCGAGCTGCAYATGGAGATAACAGGAGCGAGTTTTCCCCCCATTACGTCTTGATGTAAGCATCAATTCACTAACACTTTTCTTATCATAAATTATTGACAAAAGAGGAAAATAACAAATTTCTTGTGGGGTAAATTGTATCTTTTAATCTATGCAACACAACATTCCCAGAGTAAGCAATAACTGGTTTTACCTTAACAGGATGATATCCCAATTCCGTAGCTTTGTGGATTCCTTCCATTACCTTGTGAAAGCCTAAAATATAAGCGGGATAATATTTTGTTGTTGTTTAAAACAGATTGTAAAAGGAGGGCAGTGGGAAAAGAGCAGAAGGAAAAGAGCAGAAGACCAATCTGATTCAATAGACAGGCTGGGGAGCTGCACGAAACAGAACTTCAATTCTACCTCTCTCCTAGAGATTACCAATGTGACTGTGGTCGAATTAGTAAGATACAGCTTTTTAACTGGTATTTGGGTAATCAAAAACATTGGGATGTTTTTCTGCAGCTGTAGACATTCGAGTATTGTTAACATACGACACTCCCCATAGTTCATCCTTGCTTTCCTTCTCTTATGCCCTTCTTAAAGGGAGTGGCAAACATTTGTGAAGGGCCGCCAGATGCAATGAAGAAAATACTAAATTAAGTTTATTTTATAATTAAGGTTATTTTATAATACTAGCACATGTGTCTCAAAACAGCAGAATCTCACTGTTGTAAATCAACCACTTAAAATGCTACTAAATGAATTTAAGATGGAAAGTCGGGGAGGTTTTAGGAAAGGAAAAAGCCCTACCATTCTATTCATCCCTAGCTACAGATTCAGCTGGCTTCCCCATGGCTGTTTGGTTTGAAGATCAGAGGCAGCATTTTACAGGATCTTCATCACTATCTGAAACATGTGAGCACAAGGTGAGGGAGAGGAAGAGAATTTAGGAAAGCAATTCTGTTGACCTTTCACCCTTGAAAAGAGGCAAAATACCTCAGAAGCTCTAATGACTTCAAAGAGTTAACTGTTCATCTGCACCCTACTTGTCAACTACTCCCAAAGAGATACAGTTAATTTGGGGCAAATGCCTTCACCCACACATACACCTCCTAAGTTTGGAAGGTTAAAAAAAAACAAAATGGCAATGGTCTTATGATTCCAAAGGCCTAAAACATACCTCAATTCCTTTCTCATTCATACCACACCTTCTGTCTACTTTCAGTAAGTAAAAATCTTTTATCAAGGTCTTAGTTTCAGGTTTGACATATTGTTTCTTCCATATCACACTCACTTTTGGGGGCAGAAACAAGGTCATAGCAGGAAGACAGACACAGAAAGCTACTGATCACTTTGTACAAGTTCCCAGCAAGCGGATACGGACAGCTATTAGTCCAGTAACTGATGGTGTAAAGAGATTTTCATAAACACAGAACTCTGTTCTCTTCTACACTCTAAACTCGAATTTGAGAGACCAAATAATGCATGAGACTGAGCTCCTACTCCTGTAGCTATAGTCCCAGAATATAAGTACTTTATACATACTATCAAAAAGGCAACATCTTTTAGCAGTTTGAGTTGACTTTCTCCATGTTCTTCCTTTTTAAGCTTTTTTGTGTAGGTTTGTCACTCTCCTTATTTCTTCTCTATTGGAAGCTCAAATTGTCTGGCAAAGGCATCACACCTCTGTTAACTTATAGGCATTTACTGCAAGCAAACTCTAACTTGCTCAGCCAATAGTAAGTACGCACAAAATATTGTTATGCTCAAAATTAGAGTAAGGAAAGCTTTCATGCAGCTCCTCTCTGACTAGTAAAGAGCAAGTATTATCATGGTAGGACAGAAGCAAGCAGAGGTTGCTGTTGAGCAGGTCTTGATGCTAGTTTGACTGAGAAAAAAAAAGCTAGGTAAAAAGCAAGGAGGGAACAGTGACTAGCTGTTGCAAGCAAATGCTTAAAGTGCCAACTCATCACCACGCTCCTTCATCACTACTTGCTTTACAGGTATTGTGGCATCAGTGGTAGCTTTCATTTCAATTAAGTGACTTTGCAAACTGAATGTGGTAAGAAAGATAACACGCTGCTCTAAGCACATCTCCAAGCCAAGGAAGGGATCAGAAAGCTGAGCAACAGCTCAGGAGAGCTTGTGTGCAACTGGAGAAAAATGACACTGACTCAACAGGCCAGAAAGCAGAGACAAACAAGCAGCAGATTGAAAACTAGGCATGTCTGAATATTCTCATGCTTGGGCTCAGYTGGCTGGAGTGGTATGAAGATGACAGCTTGCAATGGGTCTAAATCAATGTCATCCCCAGTTCTGCCTCTTATTTCCTGCCACATTAGCATGAAAGTGCTGATTAGAAAGACACTCTCCCTGCCCCCCAGAAAAAGAAAAAGAACAGCAGGCTATTGCAGGCTATTTTCCTAACAACACTTGTTTCTACTTAAAATATTTGAGGGCAGTGTAATTACTTAAAATAAAAATTTTCTTACAGAATAAGTGAAAACCCATAACCACAATTCATGAAAGGTTAACTGTTTCTCTGAAATATCTGATAATCTCACAGTCTTTATCTTATCTCTAAACCACTGGGAAGAAATCGGGTCTTCTGTAATCGGTATTAAAGATACAAATTTCCCCCCCACCTTTTCCTATAATCCTAGAAATAGTCTCAAAAAGAGCAGAAAAATTGATTCCAAGTTTCTTCAGTTCCTGGTTAGCTCCATAATCAAATGCCACCTTTGCCCTCTGGAGAAGTTAGTCTGTAGAAGTCTAGACCTGGAATCCCTCTCACCTTAATAGAGCTATACCTGGACACCTCTGGAATTGCCACACAAAACATGGGAGCACACAAGGGCAGGCACTTTATTCTCTGCTCACTCCAAACTTGTAAATCTATTAAATTTAAAAATATCAAAACTATTAAGAAGTATTTTTATGTTATTTCAGCCTTTAAGAGAGTGGGGGGGGGAAAAAAAAAGAAAGAAAACCCACTATTATCTTCACCTGATCTTAAAAAAAAAGTGAGACTTTATTCTCCTCTTTAAAAAAATTAGAAATCACCAGAGCTTTCTTCTTCATTTTCTATGCTATGTGATCAAGAATTTCTCTGTATGTGGCAAAAATGCCTTTTTCCTTTAAGAGAAAAACAAAACAAAAAATCTTTCCAACAACTTTCAGTGAGATGTAGTTTATAAGCAGCACATTCCTAACAGCTTCCAATCAGATATGCAGAGCTGTCACTATATAATTCAGGAAGCTACAGGATCAAACTTTTCCCTCCAGTAGCAAAGGAGGAACTTGTTTCCAGTGAATGTCATAAGCCAGGAAATCTTCACATGCTAAGAGCAGAAGCAGAGGAAATCACAGTAAACACTTAGTTCTCATTTGGTATTTCCAGATTCTTCTTTGCAAGCCAGTTGTGCCATGACACAACCATCAACGCAAGAGCCTAAGCAATGCTAAGGGTAATGCTTGAGTCAGATTAATTTCTGACAGGGACAGATTTCTGCACCATGACTTAGAAACCTAAAGAAGTATTTCCAGAGGCAAGGACAACAAGAACATCTTTCTGCGCTTGTCAGCAGACCTTTGATTGGAGAGTAGTGTGATTCAAATGTTGAAATTATTTCTTGTTGCTCCCTGGATTTCTGCAGCCCTAGCCACAGATTTAGCTGACCCTGGTGCACCATCTAGTGGCTACCGTCTAAATCACGAGTTCTGACTGTCAAAGCTGCATTACTAGACAGAAATATAAGATGCAAGATGAAACCAGCTTTATGTTGGAAGGAATCAAACGTGTGTTGAACTTAACGCTTAACTTTAGGATTCATCTAACTAAGAAGCTGTAACATAAGGAACCCTGAAAGCATTTTGAAACTTTCAAAACTCTCAAAGTTTTGAAACTTTGAGATTACTAGTTCAGTCATTAATGATTACAGATCATACAACATTAGCACCCTTCAAATGAGCTCGGGTACCGCTTGTGTTTCTTCCCCTGAAAAAGTAATGGGGATAGAGAAAAAAAAAAAAAAAACCACTAAACGCAAGTGAGACTATTGCTGGTGAGCCACCATGCTTTCCAGAAACTGCTACTGCTGGCGWCAAGAAGTTCAGCTTTTGTGGCACGTAAGTTCTCAGCTACTTTAGTGCCCTTTTTAACAAACAGTGGAAATGTTGTTCTTTAGCAGTGTTAAAAAGGAGGTGCGTGAGACAGATCTACACAAGATTTGGAAGGTCCTCTTGCTTTCCATGACTAAGCAGTACTCAGTCACTGGCACCTCTAAGCTACAGTTCTACAGACGGTGGCACATACTCTGCTATACCAGTTCTGACTAAAGGGTTTCTAAGGCTCATGCATGGAATGAAAGAGTTCCTATCAAGCRTGCTAGTACAGATTGTTTCTCCCAGCCTCAAAAGCATAGCTATTTATTTCTCCCTCACAATAGCTAGACATGAAAATGAAAGATCCCAAACAACTATCAACATTACTGTAATTATTAACAAAGTTGTCTTGGAAAACAAGCCTGTACCTTTCCTTCGGACAATGAACTCAAATTTAGCCGGGACCAAAGTATCCAGGCTGATGTTGACGGCATTCAGCCCTGCCTCCTTCAGCCGGGGCAGCAGCCTGGCTAAGTTGATCCCATTGGTTGTGACCGCAAGGGTTTTCAGCCCTTCCAGCTTGTTCAGCTGACCTAAGAAATGAAAACAAATAAAAACTTTAGAGGAAGGAATTCCACTGTTACACAGAAAATGACAGAAAAAGACCAACATTTCAGAGCCATAGAGAGAACATGAGGCAGTATCTTGCAGAAAACAAAAGCATTTCTACTTGACAACTGAAATGTTCCTACCATCCACATTGGTATCCCAGCCAGTTGAGGACTAATGCAAAACATTCAAAAATGGCTAACAACCGAAAAATCATATAAAAAATCATTACCATTATGAGATTAAAAATCTAGAAGACAGCAGTCTCCTCAAAAACCAAATGCAGAAATCCTCGCTATACCATATACTAGATTTCCAGAGGGCAGGTTTTCAAGCCTTTARTTATCACTACAACAGGAGGGAGAAAACAAACCAAGAAAAAAATATAAACTACACTATAAACTACTTCCAGAAGCAGAGCCGCAGTAAACCCACTTTCTTATTTTCCCTTCTCTCTTTTTTCATAGTCTGCACCCTAATTACTTGAGAAATATCTTAAAACCCTTATTCTTGAGATGGCTTGAGCTACAGGACAAGTATCTCATAGTTCAACCTTTCCTCCCTATTTTACCTCTTTTCCTTCATGCTGATGCAAGATTCACTTCTGCTTTTATCTCCTTTCCCAGATGTTCTCAATATATTCAGCCCTAGCCCAGCCAAGGATTCAGGAATGGAACAGACAGGATCACACCAAAGATGCTGAAGTCTAAGGGAGTCACTATTTATAACAAGGCTTAAAAGCCTTGTAAAGATCTATGAAACCTGAAACTATAATGAAAGAAAAGGTTTTTACTAAGAATTGATTCTTTTCTCCAGCATACCTCTGCTCACTTCTCAACACCCTCCCCACAAAGCAGGAAAGCAGGAATAACCTTTACACAGAGGGCTAAGCTCAAGTTTGCCAAAAACTATTTTACACTAGCTACCCTTTGCAGCCTTGCCTTTTAGAGAGCATGGGATACACACTGCAGCTAGCAGTTTAAGAAAAGCATAGGAATACCATTACTTGTAGTTAATAAAAACAGCACCAGCTGATTAGGTAAAATAGTGCAGATGGCACCTCTAATCAATGGTTTTTTTTCCTTCCTTAGATAACAGGATGATATACATGACAAAGCACTGAACACCTTCTAATATTGGGAACTATCTGTAACGGCTGAACAGAAGCCAACCATGAGAAAMTGGAGATGAAGGGTTAATATTAAACACCAGCAAGTTAAGAACCCCAGTTAGTACATGTTACTTACTTGCACAGGTTAGGAAGTAGACCTTTGGCTTTTTTGCTCACTGACCTCTAAGTTCAACAGAAAAAACAAAAAACCAAAAACCATAGTTTTGTAACGCCTTGTCTTGTACAGAGTCTTCTTTGCTTGTCTTTGGATCACTGCTTTAGCAACAATCCACACAAGTGAAGGCCACTGATAAAAAAACTATTTACTGAAACAGGAAACAAAACACCTGCTATAGTTAAGTAGCATGAAGCAAGAGACTAGTAATCAAGCTCAAACAAACAAGTAAAAAGYTTGACATTTACAATTCCTTTAGGATCAGAAGAGTCACCGAGTTTCTTCACGTACTCGGTCAAGAGCTTCCTCACTTGTATTTCTCCTACTTGAGGCTAGAAAAGTAACTCTACCTCCTCATATATGAATTAACAAATCTACTCTGCASCACTTTGCTCCTGAAACTTGTATGTTCCTATGAAAAGAAAGATGCTGTACAAGTCTCTATCTCTCAGAAGACAATAAACAGCTATTATATTATTAAAGTTCAGTACTAATTTAAACTTGGAATATCCCAAAGGAGATGGATTCTATTTTCATTATGAACTGCTTCAGTCTCAAAGATATGTTTTCAGTACTCACCAGGACATGATTTAGCTTCCATAAAGTGTTAGCCTCTGAGTCATAGTTTATATATTTGTATGAATTACAGAAGAACAACAAAAAAGTAAAATAATCAAAACAACTGCAGCAGGCCTCTGAATATGTAGACATTAATTAACCTGGCCTCCTCTACTCCTTTACAGCAGTTTCAAATGACAGGTGTTTATTGAGAAGGAAAAAAGAAAAAAAAAGTAAAGTAGTAGGAAAATGTYATAGCTATAATCTATGATTACTATTCACTAGTTTCATTGGTATTTCAGAGACACTTTATTGGTGAAAGAAAAGATTGCTGGAAACAAACCCAACAAACTTCATCCCTATCTGACAAGTGYGGTGTTGCAGGCAGTTTCTAACACCCTTCTAGAATGCCAGATATTGCTGAGATTGAGTTTCTCCACAGTAAAGAACATTACARACACAATAACACAACTATGAAACCTTTAACTTCTACAGTCTAAGGTACATGTATGGAATCATAAATATCAGAAAGGCCATTTTACTCAATTATTTCTTGTTTTTATATGTATGATATATTGTAATAGAGAGTTAAAAGTAAATAAATTGATATCTAGGCAACCATTTTAATGGAAACTTAGAGCCGAATTATCAGTGGCTATGCTACTTATTTCCTCTGTACCATTACTGGATTTTGTTTCTTATTTGGTCTGGAATTATAGAGCTGATGTCRTGTTAATTAGAGGAAAATTCTCCTGTATAATATTAAAGAAGACTACAGCAAAGCTCTACTAATCACTTTTTCCCAAATACAGTGTGCCTTCTGTCTTTCAAAAATGATACCTTCTAGTACTATATSCTAGCTAAACTATTTGCAAACAACATCAGGGTTCACCCTGCTCCTTAAAATAGCCATGAGACCGGAGTTAGSATGGAAGGGCTCACCTACAGCAGATACTAACAGTTTCCAATCAACCTCCAAGAGTGTAATAAGCATATTACAATGTTTAAGTTACAATGTAGGATATTTTGCAACTCTTGCAATTAAAAAAAAAAAAAAAAATAGATCCCAGAGTCATGAAAATCCACATGTGCTATACTCTGTGTCAAAACAGTGTACACTGACCTTATTAGCAGGCTTGTTGAAGTTACTAAGGCCTGACCTAGGAAATGACATCCTAACAATGGATACATATTTCAAAGAGGAGGCAGATACTAAACTAAAAGTAATCCCACAAGGCCAAGTTGACACTAAGTATTGAATTAATAGATCAAACACCAGTATTTATGAAAAATGAGCATATAAAGCGAGTGCTATTAAATTTTCTATCCCAGGTTGTTTTCAGAAATCCTGAAGAACTCAAAACCCTTCCTGTCAAGATTTAAGAWTCAAGCACAGCAATTTCTTCCACCTATGCAATCACAAATAGGCTTTTCAGAGTATAGAACAGTATCCCTCTAATTCACTGCAGCTTCTATGTCAGAGGAAACACTAAATATCTATATATTAATAGAATCACATTAACAGAGACACATTCAGAAGTTCTGCTTGATATCTCATCTTCTTCCTACTTAAGCCAAGTTTGTTTATTCTTTTTAAACATTGGCTTGTTGAAGGAGTCACAGTTCCAGAAAGCACATAGTTTTCGGCCTGAGGTGCATGCGCTCATTTAAGGAATGCATTGCCAGGAAAGCTTCTCCCAGACGAGCACAGCTTTAATCATCAGGATATAGTCATAATCATAGGGAACACCAGTAGAGTTACAGCCATATTTCAGCATGTTTGTTTGCAACTCACCCACAATATCAACCACATCAGGGCGAATAAGTGGCTCTCCTCCTGTGAGTCGGATCTTCTCTACACCCTCTTTCACAAATAGCTTGGCTAGGGTGATTATCTCCTGAGCAGTTAGTAGCTCTGATTTAGGGGTTAACTGAACACCTTCCTCCGGCATACAGTACTGACCTGAAACAGACAATTCAGAAATACACAGCAAGAAACAAATACCACCAGTCAATCTAATACAGACATGCAAAATATGTCAAGTGCTTTCAATGAGTGTCAATGACTCTGCCTTGCTGAAATGCARGTAGATCTTACACCATATTTAACAAGCAATCTATGAACAATTTGCTGTCTTCCTTCAGAGGGAAAACAATACTGATTTGATGAATTTCAAAATTACAATAGATACACATTTGGGAAGAACGGCTATCTTACAGCTCTCTAACTTGACTTCAAACTAACCTGGCAAGCATAGGAACACTGCCAGCCCTAAACTTTGCAGACAAAATTGTACAAATGTAGAGAACCTGTCTGGGTGTGAGCTCTTGTGCTTATCACACGTTTTAAGCAGTAGCACACAAACATCCACAAGCACCATCATTCAAACCACTTCTGACATCTTATCAGTCTTTGACAGACTCCTCCTCTTGCTTTCACGCCCCACTGGAAGTTCAGCTTACAAATCAGTCCCTAAATTTCTTTATCGTTACTTCCACAAGAAACATAGCACAGGGCCAACAAGGAGGAACTTAACTCTTTTACACAACATGCTTCTATCTGCTTCTGCAAAAAGAGCTTGGACAAGATAGAAAACAGACACTTACACCTGAGATTGCATTTCTCTGTCAAAGAAATTCGCAAGTAGTTGTGCTGACGCCCAAAGCTGTCTGTCAAAAAAGCAGAGAAGGGAGCAGCGTGTTCCRGGAAGAAATGTCCTTTTCCTGAGCTTGGCAACTCCTGAGCGGGGGAAAAAAAAAAAAAGTGCTTATACACTTGCTGTATAAAYATTAACTTTGAACTCAACAAACAATTATTAGCTTACCTTCAAGTCATAAAAAAAAGAATTGGAATTTTAACAATGCATCTATTAATTGTTATTACCTGAACTTAAACAGGATTTCTATTTACAATTTTTCTTTTCTTAAAATTCAAGGTAACGTCTTTTAGAGGGGCACCATCTTCAGAAAGCTCCAAACATCTGTATTCCAGAACCTCTTAAGCTACCTGGAGAAACACTTTAGGCATTAAATTAAATGTCCCAGATTATAAGTTACAACAGGAAAGGAATACAGATGAAGTTTATACCTAGCATCCTTAAAACATCACTTAAGTCAACACTGGGGCACTGATAGCTTTAACAAASTCTAAGGGCAGGGATCCCACTTGTGCCATTAGGTCATAGGTGTAGAATTAATGTACTAACTCAGTTAATAATAAGCTGTTTGAAACTTGTTTTAGGCACTACATACAAACACCCACAATCAAACACCCAAGTCCCACCAAATCTAGTCTGTTTTTTCTGATAAATGACAGTTAACTAAACATTTAACTATAGGAGACAGCTGCAACACAAAGCAAAAGAAAATGAAAGCGAAATAATGTCAAAATGAACCAAATGCCTCAATAGGTCCTTGTTATTTAAGCACATGCAGGTACTTCCCAGCGAGCTAAGAAAGCTGGAAGAAAGCAGAAGGACTTCTGCAAGTGCAGTGAATACCACACCCAGTGAAACAGTACATGCAAAACCATTTCTGGATACCAGGAAAAAATGTTTGCCAAGTTTAAAAAAGTGCCTTTTTTTTTTTCTTTTTTTTTTCTTTTTTTTTTAGTGGAAAATTAGCTTCAGAAATGGCTAGTCATGATAGACTAAATAAATGATTAAATAAAGTTTTGACACAAACCTAAGATGCAGAATGAGGACAAAATTACACATTAACTATTACTTACTGAGCAAAGCTCACAATTTCCATCTAGAGTAAAACAGACATGAAAAAACTCCAAAAATACTAAAATTAGCACATACAGGATGATGACAAAGGACTGGGCAGAAACACTCATAGTTCTGGCCATCATCTCCCTGGCTCTGGTCATCACTAGCAGTAGCCATAGGAGTTCATCCAGAAAAAGAATTTAAATACAAGGTGTTTAGAAACAGTTACAATGTGAAATAACCAAAGTATCTTTTCTCAAAGCACTTAAAAACAGACACATGAGGTGCAGAAAAYAGGAGAAAACCCTGAGCGGACAGATCAGCCAAGACATCAAAGCACATCTGGGGAGAGGCCCAACTTGGACCATCAGCAGCAAAAATAAATGTGATTCCAGCTGTGCTAACATCACAGCTGCCGAGCAGGAGCAGCCTTTTTTGGCAGCATGATCTCTCCACCAGCCTCTGAACTATTTACTTCACTCTTGAACTGAGTGCCTTTGTGGTCAGAGAAATAGTTCTCCCCAAAACAATCCAGGTAATGCAGGGGTTACAGAATATAAAGGATCTATGGAGTGGCCACTTTAAGGCTCAGAAAGCATCTGTTTAAACCTGATAAAACAGTAGTGCTAGCTTCAAAGTAGTTGCTTCTCTGTAGGAAATCCCTTTCAGTTTCTGTTTTCCAAACACCAGAGCACTAGACTGGTCTTCCACACCTGTATCCGAGCTGTCGGTGACAGCAGCGGCGAAAGCTGATTAATCTATGGCTATGCTTGCACTTACACTTTCACAAATTCTTACCTCTGAATCTTTTCTGATAAATATGCACAGGCAGAACAAGTCATCTAGTTGTCATTCCTGTCAGGAAAACACTACTACCTGAGTGCCAGTGAATTGTAAGCTCTGTACAGCTTTACTTTCACTAAGGAAGCAGAAGCTAGGAGCTTAGCTTGTTAGAAATGCTGGTTCAACTGGACTTACTATTATTATTGGACTAAGAAACTGGTATTTCTTAGACTACAAGAAAGGTTTTAGTAGAAGAGCTCAGCTAAATACACAGAACTCTTTTGCTTGTTCCCCTTTGGAAAACAGTCCTGAACAGACTGAAGACAATCTGAAGACATCCTAAATATTGCCAACCTCTAAAATTTTAACAAGTTTTTTTTTTTTTTTTTTTTTTTTTTTTTAAACTACACTGCATTTGTGCCCAGTCTTAATTTCTGATCTTCTTCTTTCCATTATTTTGGACAGGTGTTCATATTTGAGGGGGAAAACCAAAAAAAAACATCTGGTGGTGCCCCACCAGATTCAGTAGGGCACTCGCATGTTTATTAAGATTATTTTAGCCCTTACTTATGTAGGAGCACTCCACTTTTGTTTCTTAATCATTTATTCTTGCACCTTCCACAGGACCTGGCTTCCTTACCAACTCTACTCCTGACTCCCCATTTTGGACTGTGCATTACAGGGAGGAAAAGGACTGGAATGGTTGTTCTTTGCTGATAGAAGGGAGGAAAGACGGATATTCTAACAATTTTATGTAATRGATGACAAACTTTCTTTTCAAGGACAGTAATTTGCCTACAGTAAAGCAAATTTTCCAGAATTTCTTCCTATTTCCAGAATTTAGGCTCTTTTAACTTACTGTTTAAATATGACTAACCCACATGCACATCACTCTGCTTCCTTAGAAGTGCAGCGGGTTAGTTAATGAAACSTTGCTAGTGCTAGAGGCACACTTACAACTAAGAAACAGAAGTGCTTACACTGTTTTTCTCTTTGATCCACTAGCAAAGTGTATATCAAAGTGTAATCTACTCTGAGGTCTTAATACTCTCATTATCATCTCAAAATCTTTAAGCAATTTCAGGAAGAGAAGTTAAAAGCTCTCAAAGTTAAGAGAAAACAAAGCTAGAAATAGTCCTTCTATGGAAAAGGTATATACCCAGCTATGTTAACTAGTGCCTCACTAGTAACTGAAGATAACTCTTACATTCAATAGGCCAGGCTGACCCAGACTGGCCCAGTTCAACCCYTGAACTCTAAAGGAGCCACCCCTGACTGCAACATGGGAGACAAAAATGGAAAGAGTTGCCTGTTGTAAATCCAGGCCACTGGGAAACGTGTATGCAGTTGGAAAAGAGAAGGGGCTGTTGGCATTTTAGCAGATAGATATCTAACAGCACAACTGCTTTTCCTCCAAAAGGGATGGCTTTAACCTGCAAAGCCCCATTTCTTCTGCCCATAGCTGGCAGGGGACTCTTCTCCTAAAAGAAGTCAGCCCTGTCATCGAGTGTGCCTGTATCTGATCTGTGAAAGAATAATTTCACTTTTTGGGCTGTCAATCCTCTGTTCTATACTAGTACTGAAAGAATGACAGCTTAGGTGACTGCACCTAGCAGCTATATTTTGACAAGCCATCAACCCTTCAGACCTGTCAATTCACCTGCAATTTCCAGAAAGATTTTCTAACAGTGCAGCAAAATTGCAAGCTGACACTTGAGGTATTAATAACCACTAGGAACACCACAAACTGACAGGTACTGGAAAACCTAAGTTAAACACAAGGGGAAGAGAATGTAGCTCTTATCTAGTCCTTCTCCTTCACCTTCATCCCCACTGATACCTGTACACTGGGAACATTTGGAAATGTTTGCAAATGTTTGCACTGAAAATGGTTGCTTGCAAACATTTTTTTTTTGAGTTGGCCTCAGGGGCCACCACAACCTACCTGCCCACGACAACATTAGAGCTGCTCCTGTTTCCAAACCCCACTGACTCATTCAGCCCTGGCAAGGTTATCTGGGTCTATGCACCAGCACTGCCCTCCTCGCAATAGTGCCTAATGCTGCCATCTCAGTGGTGGCTCAGCACGAGATCTTCTGCTTCATGCTTCAACTTTAATACCTCAGTGCATGGGGAAGCGGTGCCACAGTGTCCTTGTTCAGCCTGGAAATCAGACAAACCCAGAGGCAAAAACAGGTCTAGGTAGGTTAAGTGCCAGAATGAGGTCTGAGCTGAGATGCTCAAGACAGAAGTTTTTCTTAGGGCTCTGTAGCTGCAGCACAATCACAGAACTTAACCAGCACCCTGCAGTTCTGTTTTTTTGGCAGAGAAAGTGCCGCTTCCAGACTCCGAGCAGCTCCCCACAAAACAGAGCTCTAGGACAGAGGGGACTTCTGACATGATCGGCCAAGAATAAGGTCCATATCAGACCCCTTTAGCCAAAATGGGCTCTTCTCTTTATCCCTGCACCAAAGACTTAATGGATGCCACAGAAAGTTTCAGGTGATTATGTTCAAGAGTTGCATGATTACAAGCAAACAGCTGGAAAAGACTGAAACAAAACTTCATCCCAGGATACAAAAGCCCTTTACTAGAAATTACACATCTTGCAAGAGGGAGGAAAAAAATAACCAAAGAGATGCTCATTTCCTTAGCGTTATTGCCCTCAAGCAACCTTAAGCTACTTTGAAAACACTCTGATTCCCTCCTCTTTTAAAATACTGTTTTTTGCCTGCAAATCTCTACCACCAATAAAAAATTCTGAATGACATTTTCCTATTGTACTGGAAAACACATTTTTGTAGCAGAAAACTTAATCCTGCATATCATTTTTTAATTCAAGAATACCATTTCGGTGGGTATTGTAATATATGTAAGGTAACAGAATGGCACCAGATTTTCTTTGTTAACTATGAATGATTAACTATGAATTAAGTCAAGAAATGCTTGTACACAACTACAAAAAAAGTATGAAAACAACTGATGCTCTCACAGTGCCTGTTGCTACCTGCCATTATCCATCAGTTAGAAGAAAAGGACTCTACCCCGTGCAACACGAAAGCCACATCTCCGAGACTGGCAAATGTACCTTAAGTGTCAAGACCTAAAGAAACTCAGGTATGCAGAGTTGTATGAGTATGTATTTCTTCACCATATATTTTTTAGAGAAAATACTATAAAGTTTTACTAGGCAACAAAAACACATACAAAAATATTTTTTTCTGCTGGGAGGAGTAATTTA